GAGTTGGGTTTTCTGCCCGGTTGCTGGGTCTGATCTGTTTTCTTCCCCTCAGGACACCCAGCTGGCCCTTCGTGCCTCCCTTATTTTCTGAGCCCTTGGTTCTGATCTGTTCCTTCAAGGGCACTCTGGCCTCCAAGAAACGTCAGATCCCTGAGCAAGGAACAGGTCTTACTCCCAACTGTTTCACTGGGACCAGCTTAATCCGGTCTGTATTTTCTGGTTATATCTTCCACCAGATAATTTTTCACGTCTGTCATGATCGCCGCGCGGCTCTCTCCTGGAGGCCTGCCTTTGTAAGCAGACTGGAAGCTCCTGTGTCCTTGCCCTGGCGCCAGCCTCACTTCTCCATGCCACCGCTATGCCAGCCTCCCATTGCTGGCAACTCTGCTTCCCCAGGATCGGTGACCTGGGCTTTTAGAGGGCTGTGTTGATTCTCGATCACTCTGTCTGTGTCCCCTCACCGTGTGTGCCGCAGTCCTGGACACACTCACAGGACTGTGGGTGAGCCTGTCGTTTCTCTGTCATCAAAGATCTCTTTAGTCCCCATGGCTGTTGCCATCTGTAATGCCTGTCATCTTTGTCACCAGACTCTTCCAGAAGGGGGTCCCTTCCTTAAGACCCCAGGGGTCACTGTCCTTGTCGTATTTATAAGGAGGTGCCACTGCTGCTTTGTTTTCTCTGACTTGTCTTGGTCCATTGTCTGGAGCAACACTGTGATGCAGAACTCTCTGGAATGATGGGAATGTTCAGGAACCACACTGGCCAGTATGACAGGCGCTGGCCACATGTGGTTACTGAGCTCTTGAAACATGGCTAGTGCGAATGAGGAACTGAATTTTTTAATCTAAATCAGTTTAAGTCTCCACATATGCCTTGGAGCGCCACATCCAGTCCATATATAAAATTCTACTTTATTTTGGTATTAGGCGTCCTTGGTTTCAGGTTCCTATCTTCAGAATCTTGCCTTTAAATTTATATTTAATTCAGTTGCAAAGTTCCCTTCCTTTCACCAAAGTCAAAGGCCTGGAGCGCTCGAGCTGATGTTCCCCCACAGTGACCAGACGGACTCACGGCGACTTAGCGGCCACAGCGGAAGGTCACCCAACACAACCCTCAGCCAGTCTACAGGCGCCCCTCCTACGCCCGGCTGCACCCGGTGTGTCTTTGGGGCACAGCTACGAGGCCCCAGGACTGGCCGCCGGGGGTTGACTTTGGTCATCTCTCTGGGGACTGCACCTGGATGAGGCCACACCCCAGCGCAACCCAGAGCCTCCAGCCAGAGGCCTTCTCCGGGGAGGACAGAGGAGCCGGGCACCTGCTGTGGGAGAAGCAGGTCGGTTGGGTTGACGTGGTGGGCAATCACCCTGATGCTGGGATAGCCTCCGAGGACCGAGCCATCAGGTACAAGCCATGCGCTGACCAGAGCAGAGAGATGAGAGTGGTGAGCCCCGGAGGTGTGAGCACAGAGGCCACACTGGGCCCCGGTCTGGGTCTGCAGCGCCCACTGTCTCTCTCTGTGCGTTAGCCACAGAGCAGTGCCTTTCAAGGACCGGAGGTGAGGGCTGGCCAGGGTTCGGGGGTGGGAGGTGCCGGGGGACACTGGGGCACAGGTGCGCCCAGCAACAGTGGCTCCCTGACTGCTGCTCAGTGGCCAGAGGTGTTGTCCGTGTGTTCTGGAGGGGTGCATGGCTCCTGGTGGTGTCAACAGTGGGGGCAATTCCGGCCTGACATCATTGTCAGCCACCCTTGTATGGGACCACCTGGATCTTCATGCCTCTGTCTGTTCCATCGTTTTTTAAAATCACGCATTTCACGGTCTGTCTTTGACCTGGCTATCTTGCAGACCATGGACTGGTCCCTAATGCCTTTGTGTGTTCATCATCCACACTCTGCACTTCTTACCTTCTCAGAGGGCCATGTTCTCTGGCAAAGGCTCATGCAGGTGCGGGGCCAGCGCGGGCCAGAGGACTCCACGTCCTGACACGTGGGGCAACCTGCGCTCACTCACTGCCTCCCTCCGGGACTTCTTCCTTCCCTGGCTCTTCACCTGCTTGGGGCCTGGATCCGCCCATCCCGCCGCTTTGTAGAGCCCCGGGCTGGGGGGCTTTTCAGGTTTGGCCTCCAGAGCCCCGCCTTCCCTGTGGGGCTGGTGGGTGCCGGGGGCTTTGAGTTCACACGGTTCTCCTCCCATCGCCCACCTGCCCCTGCCTGCCCCACTGCTGCCTCCGGGGGCCGGGTGGACGGCAGGCCGGCAGGGAGCCGGGAGGTGGAGGAGCCAAGGTTGGGGGACCTGGATGGGAGGGGTGGAATAGAGGGGAGGGAGGGGCGAAGAGGGGAGGGCGGAGCCGGGGGCGGGGGCGTGGAGAGGAGGGGACCCTTGGCCGTGGTTCCGGTTCCGCGACCACGTCGGAGGCCCCGGAGCTGGAGCGAGGGGGGACGCGGAGCGGAACGACGCGCCCGCACCGGACTGGCCTCCACCACCCAGTGGGGCGGGCGTGGAGGCGGCCAGGACTGGACGAGAACGCGGCGGGACGGGGAGGGCAGGCGGAGTCTGGGTCCGGACTGTGGGGGGGAGGGGCAGCCAGGGCGTCCGAGGGCTGGACTGGACTCGAGAGCACAGGGGGCACCCACTCACCGCCACCCCCGCCATGCCGGTGCCGCCGGGGTACAGGTGGGAGGCGACCCACGAGTGCGCAGGTGCCCCATAATAGAGCCGGCGGCCAAGGGCCAACCCCACGCGATCATATCGTCACCCGGTCTTGGGGGAAGGCAGCGGAGGGGCGGCGAACTCGGAGGCGCGGGTCCCAGAGCCAGTGGAGGGGCAGGCCCCTGGGAGCCCCAGATGCTGCTCCGAGGCCAAGTGGGGAAGCTGAGGCCAGGCATGGGTGACACAGCTGTCATTGGCTGGAGCAGCTGCGGAGGGAAAGGGGCCCACACTGCAGGAAGGAGGGGAGGGGAGACTCCAGTGCACACAGCCAGCCAGGTGAGGGGAGAAGGGCCTGAGCCCTTGGCAGTGCTGATGGGAATGACAGGCACTGGGAAGAGGGCACAACCCCAGGCAGCAGCCAAACTGGAGGGGAGAACACAGGAGGGACGGGCTATCTGACTTGCTGAGGTGGGGTCACCTTGGACTCAGGAGGGGGGTTCAGGTAGGGGAGGCTGTAGGCAAGGGAGGTGGGAAAGCGAAGGCCGGGCTAGCGTTAGGGGAGGGTCCACGATTAGAGAGGGGGTCGCTGGGCAGAGCTGGGACAAGAGCTGAGGGAGGTACGGGTGTGGCGCCAGGAGGCCAAGGGAAATGGAGAGAGGCTAAAACCAAGTTTCCAGAGGTGATGCGTCGGAGGCTGCCGGTTCCTGCATTAGCTCTCCTGAGGTGCAGCGCAGTAGCTTCCGACAGACGCTCCTCTTTGCGTGGAGGAGGCCTCTCCAGCCGGTTCTGTGCACGTTGAGCAGTCATTGGGGGCTACTTCTCTCTGTCTGGTTTGTGAGGCACCCCCACACCCGTTCGTCCCGGAGGAGCTCTGTGCAGGCCCCCACCAACTAGGCCTCCGTCCCCAGCCAGCAGGATGGCCGCTGTCTCGGGGCACTAGCAGCTTGCCCTGTGGGTGTCCTTGGAGCCAGCCCTGGGGCCACATGTGCCTGAGGGGACCTCACTCTTGCCAGCACATCCTGCAGTTCTCGTCTGAGACACCCCATGGCACACACAGCAAGTGATTCAAACCCCAGCCTCACCCCGCAGGGCCCAGTGGCCGAACTGGGCCAGTACAGGGCGGGAGGAAGGCCCGGGTCAGAGGCATCGCGGTCCCTCACCCGCTGGCCTGTTCTCCGCTGTGCTTGTGGGCGTCTGGCTTCCACATCACTCCCCCTCCCCTGCCAGAGAGGCTTGGTAGGCGGGGTCTGGGTGTTAATCCCGGGTCAGGCCATGAGGCCTTTGATCTCTGCCGGCCAGTGGGCGCGAACAGCTGTCGGTGCCTCTCCCAGGCTGGCGCCGGCGCCCGCAGGGATCGAGGCTACTGACCCAACCCGTCTGTCTGCACAGAAGCCCCGCCAAGGGCTTCTGAGCCAGACCAGCTTCGCACCTGACTCTGGCCGCCAGCAGCGCAGCCTGGACCCCCCAGCCCATGCTCCAAGGGGCGCCCAGGGCCCGCCAGGTGGGTTTCTGCAGCACGTGTCCATCTGCCCCGTTGCGTGGAAGAGACAGACACCCTCCTGCAAAGGTTGGGGGTAGGCCCCGGCAGCCTGAGGCTTGAGGAGGAGTGCAAGGCCCACCTGGCTCCTGCACCTCCCCCCAGATGCAGACGCAGCCAGCTCAGGAGTGAAGCTGCCATGGGGACAGGGTGACCATCCTGAGGGCACCCCCCTGAAGCTCAGGCTCCAGTCCCCTGGGGGCTCTGAAGCCACCCAGCCACAATGGGGGCAGCTGGGGTGGTGGGATGCATGATGCCATATGGCCACAGCCGAGTCCACGCCCTGAGTGACCACACCCCCTCTTTCGTGTCACCTGAATCTGGAGGCAGCTCCTGTGGCACCAAGTAAAACTCCGAAGAGGAGCTGGGCTGGTGCTGGGGATGGTGAGAGAGAAGGGCCAGCAGAGCGGAGGGTCCTTCTCTGGACAGCCCCTCCCCGCCCTGTGTGGCTTGTGCATTCCCCTTCCAGGAATGCCTGCCCTACATTCCTACCCAGCTGGACAGGCTGGCCGCAGCAAGCGCTCGACCTGGCCTGGCTGCCCAGTCCTGGGAGCAGCCATGCCGACGTCCCCAACTTGAAGACGTCCCCAACTTGAAGCGGGCTCTCCCTCAGGTGGACACACCTGTCACCGAGGGCAGTGCAGACACACAGGGCGGGTTGGCGAGCCCACCTGGAGAAAGAAGATGACCCAGCACCCCACAGGACAAGCCCCCCGCGTTGGTACTGGGGTGGGAGGGGGCCATCACCTTCCTGCAGCCTGGGCCAGCCGGGTGGGGGTGGGGGTGGGAGTGGGGGAGATGAAAGGATGTAAGGAGTTCCCAACCCCCCCATCTCGCAGGAGGCTGACCAAAGCCCCGCCCATCCCCCAGACATCTTGGAGCCGGGGGAGGTGTGAATGGCCTCCTTTGTGCCTCTGAATTGAAGGCCATTAGGTGCTTCTTATCTGGGGGGGATTTGAGCCATCTCTGCAAACCTGCCTCCCACCCCCTCCTCCCTCTGAGCTTATAAATGCAGCCCAGCCCTGTGCTCCGCCCGGCCCACCCAACCAGCAGGCCCTGACCAGCCCTCAGCTGACCCTGCGCCCAGCCCCCACCGTCTACCCTGCGGAGGACCCCCGCTCCCAGCCCCTGCCATCTATCCCCGGGCGGATCCTGAGCAAGGCCGTCTGTCCGGCCATGCCTCCCTCCTCCCCCGTGCCCAGCGGCTGCAAGCCGACCTCCAGCTTTGGCTCGGTGGACTGGCTGTCTCAGAGCAGCCACGTGGAGCGGTCGCACACCTCCAGGCCTGCCGAGGACTCCCAGGAGAATTTCTCTGCCCAAGCCAGGGGGTCCAGCCGTGGGGAGCCACCTCAGACCCAGGGCGAGGAGGAGGTGAAGTTCTCAGAAGTGTCTGCACCAGGGACGCCCACAGCCGGTAGGTCGGGGTGGGGGGTGTCCCTGCCCAGATCAGGACAGGACTTGGAGGGTTCAGGAGGTGGGGGCATTCTTACCAGGGCTGGGGTTTGGGGTTCCTGGCCTCTCTGCAAGTGAACACTTCCCTTTGGGGGCAAAAGCCACAATGGGGGTTTTCCCTCCTCAAGCCCCTTGGGCTCCTCTTCCCCACCCACCTCCTATGGGGGGCGCCCCCTGCCCCTCACCCAGTCCTGGCTGCCCATGATGGGCCCACCACTCGCCACCCCTCAGGGCCTCACTGTGAGCCACGACGCTGACGTTAGTGCCTTTGTTCACAAGGATTTCAGACTCTGTAAAAGTCCTCGGGACCCATTTCCACAAGGGTCACAGAGCTGCGGGTGAGTGTGTCTTAAAGCTTGTGAAACCTGCCCAGTTCAGAGAGGTCGTTGTGGCCTTTCCCACAAAGCTGCGCACCTTAGTTTGGCATCTAGAATTGAGTTGGAATGGGCCGGTTGGGTCGAGGGAGCCACGGCCCAGATGACGCCACCCTTTACGTTTCCATGCGTGTGAATTTCGGTGCCTCTGCCCGCCAGCTCTCCCAGGTCTGCTGGCCCCTCCGCTTGTCTGACCCCTTGTTGTTCGCCACCAAGAAGCCTCAGTTTGTCTTTTAGTCTCTGTGATTTCATCGTTGCTTTTAGGTTTAAAGTTCTACACGGTCGAAAATGGGGTTGATGTTATCCATAAGTTTTCATTTTTTAAAAAAGTTTAAGTAATCCCTACAGAATAATTTTACACTTCGATGAGGTGAAATTTTAAATTTATTCTCTACAACCAATACCACCACCAAATGGCCAGCCAGTCACCCCTGCATCAAAGTCCTTGATGTGACTGGTTACGCGCCCGCCCTGCAAGCAGGCGTTTGCTCCTCCTGTCTGCCACGCTTCCAGGTGAGCGCTAAAACTAGATTTGTAAGATTTGCGTTCCCCAAACTACCACCTGGCACGTGGTGAGACTTCGTTAGATAATGACCGAGTAGATGATCTTCACTTGCTGGTTTCCTTCGTCTCAAGGGTGCTTACTGCCTTCCCCCATCTCCTACTTTAGACATTAGAAAACAAAGACTTGCCAAAGGCACGCAGTTGATGATGACAGCTTGGGCACGTGGGGACTGGGTACCGTGTGACAGGCCCTGGAGAAGGCGAGCTGCCCCCGGGCTCTCCCCTTGCCCTGCAGTCCCTCAGGCCCTCACTGCCACCCTCCCCCACCCCCAGTGAATTGAGTTCCTAGTCTGCAGGCCAAAGAAAGTGCTTTCTGGAAGGATGTAGGGGTGGAAGCCCTTCTGGAAGTGACTGAGTGGACTGGGGCAGGAGGCGAGGGGCCTGCATCAGAACTGCTGTTCATTCCTCATCATCTTTCTCCAGTATCCACTGGACCTCATTCTGTATTGAGCTGGGAGGCTGGGGGGGGGGGGGCTGTCTCCATGCTGGACAATCGAGCCAAGACCGAGAGGGACAGCAGAACAGTGGAGAGGGCGGGTCTATGCTTCCTGAGAACTGCCCCCCACCCCCCCAGTCATATTTCTTATCACTATGTCTGCCATCTGTAACCACAGAGCTAGCAGCAGCTTCCGAGTGAGGAGAGCCTGTCTCACGTGGGCAGCACTTTTGGTCAAATGGATTCAGTGCCCCTTCCGTCCTCCCTCAGGATTGAGCAAGGAGCCAGACACCACGCGGGCTCCCCGCGTGCGCACGGCCTTCACGGTGGAGCAGGTCAGCACCTTGGAGAGCTCCTTCCAGCACCGGCGCTACCTGGGCCCCCTGGAACGCAGGAGGCTGGCCCGGGAGATGCGGCTCTCGGAGGTGCAGGTGAGGTTAGGCGCCCAGGCCGGCGACGGAGCCAGGCTAGCCTGGTGGCCTGGTGTCGCCCCTGCTCTGATCCTGTTTCCCCACAGATAAAAACCTGGTTTCAGAATCGCCGAATGAAGCACAAACGACAACTGCAGGACTCACAGCTGAAGGTCCCCTTCTCCGGAGCTCTCTACACACCGCTGGCTTCCTGCCCACCACCTTCTGCCCTGGGCGACAGCCTGCAGCTTCTGTACCCTTGGGCATCCCTGCCTGGGCCTCCTGCTCTGGTACAGCCCCCTGGCTTCTTCTGGGGTCCCTGCCAAATGGAACAAGCCTCCCTGCCCTCAGCGTGGGCCTCGTGCAGCGGACAGCCTCTGACATGCTGCCTCCCAGACCCTGGGGGCCAGGTGCACATGCTGGGCCTGGCCTTGTCCTGGGGACCTTGGGGCCTGTGCGCCTTGCCAGACATCGGGGATGCCTTTTGAGGAATTGTGGCAGCCCAGAGCCTGCAGCTGGAGTGTGTTGACACCTTGCCATCCCACACACAGTAGGTGTGCATGGAGCTGTGCCCTGGCGTGGGCCTCCTGCCCATCCACACGTGGGGCCTGGAACCCTGACCCGCCTTAAGATTCTGGAGGGTGTGCAGTTGAGGATGTTTTAAAGCCGCTCCTTCACTGGAAACTAGCAAAGGGCAGCTCAGGAAGCAGGTAAAGGGTCAATGAATAGAACCCCCAAAGGTGAAAGTGGGCTCGCTTTTAGCAAATGATAAAAGGTTAATTTATTCAATTTGAGGTGTTGGAAAATCTGGTTTTCCAGTTGAAAACAATAAAGGTGGGTCCTTTTTTGTGCTCCATGCTCTGTGTGTAAAAATGAAAGGGTTGGGGAGGCGAAGGTATTTGTGTTTATCACCTTGGGGTTTGAATTCCATGTTACCAACGACCCCAAAACTGGAAGCCAGGAAGGAAGAAGTTGATGATTTTGCCCACGGAAGAATCAGAACCCAGTGGTGATGGCGGCCTCCAGAGCAAGCAGGGCCAGGCGTGTGCCGTGTGTTGCTCACAGCTCTCCTGCTCCTTCTGCTGCTGAGAAGCTCCGGGGGCTGGATCTGAGCCTGTGTCTGTCTGGCACCCGGGCTTGGTCCTGTGGGTTCCCTCCCCCGAGCTGCTCTCCCTGCCTGCTCTGTGCAGCAGTGTGGCTGAGGGCAGGAGGCTTCCCAAGGCAAAGCCAGTGCTGGTCAGCCTGGCAGGTCATCCCAGTGCTGGAAGGAGGGCTCCTCGGCACAGGCTTTCTGGAGGGCTTCTCATGGTGCCACCGAACTTGAAATGAACATGCCCTCGTCCACCGCACAGTGAGGAGGGGTCTGCACCGAGTGGGTGAGTGCGAGCAAGCCGAGGTTTGGGGATGGGCACCCAGGATGTCCACAACAAAGGGCCAGTTCAGTCGCAAAGGGACTGGGTGTAGAAGTGTGCGACACGCCAGGTGACGTGGGCTCTGGGGGGGGACCCTGGTGTAGAGGTGTGCGACACGCCGGGTGATGTGGGCTTTGGAGGAGAGTAGGTGGACTGAGGAGGCGTCTGTGACAGGGCACCCTCGAGCAGAGTGGATAGCATGAGCATGCACCCCTCGGGCCTGCAGGAAGGTGGGCAGCAAGGGGACACAGTGAGGCCAGGAGAGCTGTGCACTCCAAGGGAGAGAGGGTTCTGAGCAGAGGAGCTCCATCCAGGTGGGTGTCTGAGGATAGACCCAGGGGGCCAGGGGCACAGCCACCAAGGGCCAGGCTGAGGCTTTCAAAGTTCGGCCGGGTGCCCAGAGTCATCCTGTAGGGACCACCTGTCGTCGCTGGGGCCACAGATTGCTTCACAGAGGCAGCTTCCATGGCTGTGCTGAGCCGTGCACTCAGGACTTCTTGTGGGTCAGGATCTGACCAGATGGGCACGCCTTTCAGGCTTGTGTGTTTTCATTTTTGCTTCAAAAACACTGAACTGGATTCTTTGTTTGCCCCTGAAAACTGGAGCGAGTGTCTAGTTACTGCCCACTGTTTCCTATCGTGTGTGGTGTATGTCCAAGTGTTATCCATGTGTCTGTGCTGTTGTCCCCCTGTGTCCCCCCTGAAGCCTTGGGCTCCACTTGTCTGAAATGTCCACTCACTTCTGGGCAGCGGGTGCCCATCTGCCTGGTCCTCTTGGTGATCCCAGTGGCTGTGATGACTAGCCTTGACTGGGAGGCTCAGGGGTGTAGATTGACCAGTGGGACTGACCTGTGCTCCCCAAGCCCCACCCACAGCAGTGTGGCCTCAGTCAGCGCTGGACGCAGGGTCCCCCTGGGATGGGAAGGCATTCGCACTGGCTTCACCCCATCGGCACAGACACAGAATCACCTCTGAAATAGTCCTGCCCAAAACCTAAATCCAGTTTACAGGAAACGGGGACTTTGCAGGGGACACTGGCCGGGACGCCTCCAGCAGTCCCTGGTGTCAAGGATGCAAGACCCAGCAGCCTGTGCACCTCGAGCAGGAGCTGTAGGAAAACAGCTGTACAGACTGGGGGGCAGCCGATGGCTCTGCCAGGTGGGGCCCGGGGGTCCCCCTCTCTGTGCTTAACAGGGCCAGGTGAGGAGCCACCCCACTGTCTGCAGGATCTCATAGCTGAAACTTAACGTTCAGAAGGTTCAAAAACAGCACAGTGAAGCACATGCGGCAGAGTTGTCAGCCCTGAACCCGGGTGGAGGGTCCACGGGTGTCAATGGGGCTTCCAGCCTTTCTGTCTGAAGTTCCACAGGAGGAGGCTGGGCAGGGCAGCCTGGATGCTGGCCCAGAGGGAGGTGAGCCCAGGCCCTGTGCCTGTGGGCTGACCGGCCCTGCTCTTCTCCTGGGGCCAAGCGCTCGCTTGGTTCTGAGCCCTGCAGTTTTTGGTGCTAGGGGGCATCAGCCCTCCCAGGCTCCCCCCCAACGAACCCCACAAGTAGAGGGGAAATGGTGCACAAAGGCGGACCCGACAAGTGCTGTGTGGGGAGTTTGGAGTGACCCCGCAGCCCCTACAGTGATAAAAACGCGGGTTTTGGGGGCTGCGGCACAGGTTCTCCTGCCTGGCCCATGTCATCAGCACCCAGTGGGAGAGGAACTGCCATCACCAAGATCCCAGCATTGTCCCTGAGCCACGGGCAGGGGAGGGCTGGGTTGGGGCTTGCGGCCACAGTGCGGGAGGTAAGGGCCTGCGAGGCAGTGACCCTGAGGGCGGTGTGCAGCCTGCTGGCTCCCAGGCCTCTGCAGCTGGAGGGCGCAGCCTCGCCCCCTGCCCAGGCCAGTAAGACCCTCATTCCCAGCCCTCGTGGTTATTTGCTAGTGGCAAAGGGACCAGTGAATGGAAACCCCTTCACCAGGGAAGCCCCAGTGACATCTGTGGGACAGGATTGTCTGCTCAGTGCCCCTGGGACCCCCACCCTGCCATTCACGGGACAAGGTGGCAGCACCTCCCCCTCGTCCCCCCCAACTGACCGTGGTGGGTGGTGTGACGCTTGGCTTTTCCAAGGGCCTCCTGGCCTCACAGCTGCCTCGATGCTCCTTAGCTGGGCTGGAGCTGGCAGGACACTCTGCGCTTCTGTGCCCGACCTCCTGGTGGGGACTCTCTCCCTTTCTCCCTGCCTGGGAGGCTGCCCGCCTAGCTCCAAACTGTCGACACGTGACCCCACCTCAGGGTTGGGGTGAGGCACATGACCCATGCAGCCAGTCAAGCACCCAGGGGAGGGCACGCCCCCACTCCCAGCTGTGGCAACCCTTCCCCAGCAGCCGTGCCCTGCAGTTGAGGTCTGGAGGAGTGGAGAGTCAGGCAGACCTTTGGCTTCCCAGGTCCAGCCATGCCTGCAATCCACCACACTGCCCATTACAGGGAACATGGGTGTCTGGATCAGCACCGCTGTTGCTTGTGCACTGAGGGTGTTATGATGCCTGCTTTCCTTCTCTACTCTCAAGGGTCCTGTGGGAGCCACACCAGGGAGCCAGACCCCAGCCACTTTGTGAGGAGGGTTGGGAGGGGGCTCAGCCCTGAGCCAGGGGTGTGGGGTGGTGCCTCCTGGGGGCTGTCTTGTCCTGCAGCCCCTGCTGTGGGCCCGGCTGTCCCCTCCCCCAACAGGAGGCTGTGGTCCTTTGAGGATGGTACCAGCCAGTTACTATCAAAGGAGATTAGGGGAGAGGCCTGGCCTGGGTTGGGATGCTGATACTGGGTGCCTGTTGTCAGCGAGCGGTTGCTCCATTTGCTGGGTGGATTAGCTGACAAAAGGCTGACAAGCATTGCTGAAGCTCTCAGCTGCTGTCCGTTCTCCTCCCCCAGGCTCAGGGATGCGAGCTCCCACCTTGGCGGGGTGTGGGGGGGTGGTGGGGGGCCGCAGTGCCCCAGGGGGCGGGGTTGCGCTCATGGTCCAGCCCTGGGATTCCTGGCCCTCCCATCACTGCCACGTGCTCCACGCATCCTGGGAGCATTTGAAAATCGACCCTGGTTTTCAGAAAGGTCGTCAGAAACCCCCACTGCCCTCCCAGCCAGAAGTTCTCCCCAGAGCACTCTTAGTAACGTCACCCCCATCCAACCAGCCTAGACGAGAGGAAGCACCACACAGCTTTGTTGAAACTTCTTGATTGTTCAAACGTCCACACTACGTTTACAAGAAATTAGCTTTATTGATGTTTCTGATTAGAACATCAGCTCAGGCTCATTATTTACAAAGGTGTAACAGAGGCGTGAGAAGCAGCGATTGCCCCAGACGCGGCCCCACCACCTCCAGCCTCTCCACGCATCGGGCTGTCACCCTTGTGCCCCAGACCCAGACCCAGACCCAGCAGCGGCCTCAGATGGGCTGTGCCAAGTTCTGTTCCAGCACATTCTGTAACCCCTCAGGGGCCCCCAGTGAGACTCATCACAGAGTGGGGGGTGCCTGCACCCCCCACCCCGGCTCCCTCCCGGGGGCAAAGATGAGGCTGGGGCCATCTTCCCGACACACCCGAGGCACACTCCTCCTCCAAGGAGGAGGATCACGCAGCCCCGTCAGCCAGTCCGCAGGCGGCAGGTCAGGGCGCAGGATCGGCGGGAGGAGGAGGGGGTCTCGTCGCCCCATTTTCCCATGCCTACACCTCTTTAGGACCGACCCTCAAAGAAGTATATGCATAGGAAGAAGGAACGACGAGTGCGCAGCTCCTCAGCGCCTGGGCGGCTGTCCCGGAGAGGTCCCTGCAGGGCCGCGGGAGAGGCTGCGGAGGAGGCCGGAGGGCAGTGCGGAGTCCTGGGTGTGAGCAGCCAGCTTGACGGGTGAGCCTCACCTCACCTGGTCCAGCCTCGGGCCCCTGTGGTGGGCAAGGCGAGCGGAGCGGGCGTGGAGGAGACACGTCTGCTGACGGCGAGCTCTGCTGCTGCGCGCCGTGCGCCCCATTTATGCAACGCAGAGACCTTGGCGGCCGGGCACACCAAGCAGCCGCTGTCGCATGTGGTCACGGGCTGCGCCGTGCCAAGGCCCCCGTCCACCCCCGCACCTGCGAGATTGGGGCACAAAGACCTGCTCTGAGTGGAGCGCTGAGCGCCCCCGGCAGTGGGGCCCACGGGGCTGGGGGCTGCTGGCTCAGGGCCTGGGACAGGGCCAGGCCTGGCCACCCTCCTCCAGTGCTTATCTCCCAGCGTGTGGCTGCTTACGTCAGGGCCCGGAAAGTGCAGCCAGGAGAACTGGCTCGGGAAGGGGCCCCCCTAGCCCGTGCCAGGGCTCTGGCCTCCTGCTCTGCCCAGGGTGATGCCCAGTGTCCCGTCGTGCCACCCCTGCACTGAGCCCCTGGACCCCACCCCAGGGAGGCCGCCTGGGCCTGGGGCTGCCCAGGAG